CATTTATTATCGATATTATCGTATTGTTTTTGTGTTCTCACCCCTATCACTGCGCCAGTTCAAATAGGTCTTGTAATTTCAGCGTGTGTTTATGAAGCTACGCGATGAATAGACAAAACTTTATTTAGGCGTATCTACCTTATTATTTTGGGTAGCGATGCGAGATTTTCACAAGAGTTCTTAGAATTTTTATCTTTATTTTTGAAGGCAAGTTGTATTTTAAGGTCACACCCCCTTCAAGGTCACTCTACAAATAGTCGAAATCCCCTGAGATCTAGTGATGCGAGTTAGCTTTTCAAAGATTCAGATTTTACTAGCTCCAGAATAAACTCGCAAGGCAAGGGTATTATGGGGGCAGGCTTTCAGGAGGTGACAATAGCCAAAGGGAAGCCTGGTAAATTGTCGTTCTTTATGATCTTCACAGATGCGACTGAGCTGTTTGTGTACCTACTGATGGAATATGTCCCCCATTGACGTACCTCATCATCATATTCTCTATGGTATTAATTATGTAGGTACCTGTTAGTAATTACTTATCTGTGAGTTTAAACCTCGGTATAAATCTTTCATTTGAGAGAGGCGAATTGCCTTTATTTCTGAAATTGGCAATAGTTGTTCTTCTGATGGTAAGGAGCCAGCAAACTACCGCCCCATTGCGCTACCAGCACTGGCAAAAGTTATTAAAAAAATAGTTAAGAATCGCATGACAGCATTCATTGAAAATAATAAAACGTAGCTTCTGAGTATAGTGTGCAGTGGAAATGCCTTTTTTTGTGTTTGTCCTCATTCAAATAAGTCATGAAGAAATTTTCAGCCAGCTATCATTACAAGTGCAAGGACCTGCTAATATATACATATAATATTAGGTAGAAACCTGGTTTCGTATATACATATCATGTAGGGTAACGAGTACCTACCTAGTTAATTGATTAATTTAGTGAACCAAAGATCCAAAGAGAGAACACAATGTTATTTAAATCAACATCTGCATTATAATATTCTATTTCGTTTTTATATTGAGAATGAGTCTAATTTCTTTATTGTCAGTTCACCTGACCAACTACTTATAATATGACCGAATAACTAAACTAAAAATACCTATGTACCTATCACTAATTTATATTTACGCAAAAAATTATATGGGACCTACTGCGTTAAGGGAGTTATAGATACCTAGTAGGTGAAGGAATCTGTTTGATAGGATTTCTTAGAATTAATTTTTAAGATGCTTTTACAGAATGTTTTCATAAAAAATCAGAACCCTAAACTCTAAATTCGTCACTGCTACCTTTGAATTTCTACAAAATAATAAATAATTCAGATTTTACATCCTTATATTAGATATAGACCTGCATTTTTTTTATTTTGCACTAACCTCAGTTGTAACCAAATAGTAACATATTATTATTATACTTGTATTTATTATTTAAAAATCTTTCATTAGAACAAATAGGCATTGGTGATTTATGAAAAAAAAAAGAAATACGCGAGGTGAATTATTACCTATACAATATTATTGTTTGTGAAAACTTTCCAAATCTGACAATTTATAAATCTGGAAAGCCCAAAGATGAGAAGGTGGCAGTGTATTACCTATTGCGATTTTTTTTACAAATATCTTAAATGATATGCATTAGGCATCTACACATTTTAAAAACAAAACTATAATTGAATTGTTTATAGTAATGTGGTTTTAAAATTCATACAGGATGGCTCACCAAAAACTTTCTACCTAGGATTTTTCTCTAGCGATCTATTAATTAACGGGTCACATTTTCTCAATAATTCAACGCCTTCATTAACCCCCATTTAGTGAAGATATTATGGGAGATCCATGCAACTGAACTACAAAAAATTACCTATTTTAGAACTGTTGCACATTACTACCTAGATGTAAGAATGATAGGTAGGTACCCGAGGTCAATTTCACGACTGACTTGGTTGCGTAATGGCTGTTCTTTATTGTTTTCCTTTGAATTTTGTATGTATGTTCATTCAAGTCAGAATGGAAACTGAAGCTATCATTGTGACGTACAGCAAATTAGAAAAAAAAACTGATACGACTGAAAATTTCATTTTTTATTTCAAACACTGATGGCATATTCATCAGACTGATATATATTTAAATTTTGATAAAACAGATTGTTTTATGACGTTTAAAAAGGGGTTTAGACTTGTTTTCATAAATATAAGATTGGATTACTTGGAAATATGGTTGCCAGCTCCAAGTATGGAACTAACCGACCCGACAGAAGAAATTAACAATTGAAGATGATCACCTGGAACGTCTACGGATTGCGAGGACGAAGAGCTATTACTACAGGACCATCAAAGCGTCATCTTGGCTCCGCAGGAGACCAAAATAAGGGATGTAAACAGTATGTCGATCCGGGTGATATTGAGAAGTATATTGTCACTTTAGAGATTAATGGCCGTTTCCACCAACTATTTTAGGGGAGCCTTAACGATAAGTATTCCTAAAAATGACAGTCTTTCATGGAGAAACGTCAGTTTAAGGAATACTTATCGTTAAGGCTCCTGTAAATTAGTTGGTGGAAACGGCAGTAAGAGAATCAGATGCCATATTGAAATCACTTTAGCCTACGTGGTAAGGTACTGGATAGTGGCACCGGATTCACTATCAGAGAGGATTCCTACCTTAATTGGTGACGTTCAACAGTAAATACCCAGGCTAGATCTTCATTGTCCGCCACCGGAACGGAGGCAAGCTGCAAGAGTACGCTGACGCTCAAGGGATCATCGTCATTGGTCTTGAAAGACCTATGTATCTACCAGCTGAACTGGACCGACATACCGTGCTGAAAACAGCAATTTTTGAAAAAAATGGGCAGACAATTTAAATTGTCTATAGAAGACGATACCTCGGATCAAAATAAAACAGCTAAAGTGCACCATCTAAGCAAAAACTTCAAGACAAGAAAGGTAACATTCCAGTGATCCACAACGATGCCAAAAAGGCCAAACAGCAATCTTTAGACGGAAGTTATAGCCTTAGTTACGGAAAATAGACGTTAGAGAGAATATAGAACCCCAAGAACTGGAAGGAATTAGATAGAGCCAATAAGCTCATAGGAAAGTTCTTAAATAAGTCAGGAGCAATAGGTACGATCACAAGATTCAAGAACTCAACAAATTCAGAAGTATCCGAGAAAAAACACAGAAATCATTCTACAATTGCTGGATTTGATAGGATGGAGACGAGATTGACCGAACTGTCGACAGACTACGTGGACTGGTAACGGAAGTACGTACCAGGAATCACGTCAGCCGCCAGGGCTGTAACAGATAATGATCTTAGTTACTATCGCTAGTCGTTATAGAGTCCCAGTCCACGAAATTCAGAACAATATCAGAGACTCCAGGCCCCAATGCAATTTCCAAGAAATATGGCTAGGAAGGCTATAATGGTCTTGACTAATATCACCAATATCAGACTGGATCACTTCCCGCACAGCTGCAAGCACGCGGAAGTGATCATGCTCACGAAAGCAAGAAAAGTCAAAACGTTCCCTCTGAACCATATTTCAATTAATTTCTCGCCTCTTCTGAGCAAGGTGCCAGAGGAGCTATCAGGTTCAAGATTCGAAAGGAAACCGAAAAGTCCGAATGGATTGTTGACGATTATTCAGATTTAGAGCAGGTCAATCCACTAAGTTACAAGCAATCAGAATTGTAGAGCGCATCATCAGCGGATTCAACTAGAAAAGAGGCACAGTTATGTGAGAAATCGAACGAAGATTATGGATCAATGGGCTAACATGCAAGATTCTACAAGTCATATACCAAGCAAGCTGATCCGAAGCTACCTAGTTAGCCGAACCTACTCAGTTGAGATGGGCCGACAACGCTCACGAGTGAGAAAGATAGTAGTAGGAGTACCCTGAGTATCGGTTCTGGGACCAATCGATCTACACCAACACATACCTGAAACCACAGTAAAAAAAAATATCTTTGACGACGACGATTGTGCCAAATTAGCTTAGCGCAGGATTGGATCAGTCAGAGGCTCGAGGAAGAAATGGACGATTAATTGAAAAATCAAAACTAATGCACAGAAGCGCCAACCTATCATGTTTCATAGAAGACAACACAATTTGCTTATCAGCAGGTAGGATATAGGTACCATGGATCAGTGAAGTATAGGGTGCCGTCGATACTAACTTTACTTAGAAGAGTCACATAGTAGGAGCGTATAAAAAAACCAAAGCGACAATGGTCCGACCTCACTTCATCTTATATACGAGACCTCAAACAAGACTTGACAAGTCTAATGGACTATAATACCTAACCTGGCTCAGAAACTGATACTCCACTAGCTGACATAAGGTTTGTTCCAACACGTCAAAAACCATCCCATGAACGGGTTCGAAACCACTCTGTATACGAATTTCGGGTTCTACGCACAAATTTTTGGCTTTGCGCAGAATCGTGACGGTACATTGTACGCTTTCTTGATGTGTTGGAACAAGGCTATAGCGTAATCGGGTGATGGCTCGACCTAAGGCTCGACCCCACCACTCTAGGGTAACGGCCTGATTGGTTGAATATATATCTGAAGTTAGTTCCCTTCAGGATTCAACCCGGTTCATTGTACGCGAAAAAGTGGTACCTATGGCCCCCGAAAGAGTCGAACACATTCATCTAAATGGGGTGTTTCTGAAATATTCAACTTTCTACTTAGTGAGATAGACCTTCAAAACGAGGTTATTGTTATTTGATAGGTTTTGAGTGTATACTGTATACCTAGAGGAATACGCCAGGGTGAAATGGAAAGAGGACTTCTTTGTCACAGAAATGTGACAAACCGATGAAAGTTGCGAAAACTAAAACTTGGTTGGACAAGCCCAAGCCCATGCCAAGGTTTTTTTTTCACTAATTCGGTGGGTATGAAATAAAATAAGTTTAACCTGCTTGTGTACTGATGTAATGTGTCCCTTATTGACGTACCTTATCATCATATTCTCTATTGCATTAATTATGTAGGTACCTGTTAGTAATTACTTTACGTTTAGAGTTGAAACAGTCTGATTATGCTACAGTATAGCGAAACATGTTACTGTTTTAATAGTTTAGTGAAAATATATTAGAAATTAGTTTTACTTCTTGATTTCAATTTTCACCAGGTATCAGCTGAATCAATTCAAATTCGGTAGGTATTAAATTTTGTTTGTTGAGTCGCACCACTTACCCCCGCTTTGGTTTGGCTATGAAAAGCTGTAAAGGGAGTAACAATGTGAAGGTACCTAACCAAAAAAACGTAAGTGAAAATTTCGGGGTGAACCAACCTGTATATCAGTAGAAAATAGTAAGATTATGATTTTTTTATCTGCTCAACTGCTTTTACTTTTACACTTATCCTCATTCATTTATTTATTTTTATACAAAACTATTTTTATTATTATTTGAATTTATAAGTACCTATGTCAACTACAATTTTATGCTATAACAAAAATTTTTTATACCTACTTATTAGATATTTTCTTAAAGCGTCTTTGTTTGGAGGAAGCAGTATAAACCAGCTTTGGTTAAAATTTAATTTTTCAGAACAATTTTCTAGTTTTCTCAAGCATCTAAGTTTTTTTTTTTTTGATTAACATATCTTACCAACTATGTACATTCTTGTGTCTTCAGTTCTTGTACCACTGTACAGTGCCTAGTTTTGTATCTTACAAGAGGTAGAAATTTAAATTAAGATTTCTTGGTAGAAATTTATTTAGATTGATTCAATTAATTTTTGTTTTAGATAATGAATTGAAATTTACTTTTAGGGTCGGTTTTCTCATCAACTATGTCCTTCCTAAGCTAAATTTTATTTTTCGGCTTTTTTTTCAATTTCACGTTTCCTTTTGCGGCAGGGACATACTTGTTGACGTGAAATCTGAGCCACGGTCATCAATCACTAGTAAGACCCCCTATACGCTCAGAGTTTGGCTTCTGAAAACCGTAGCTTCAAAATTTCAATAAAAATGTATTGATAATTTGTTTGTTAACTGTTGATGAAAAAACCGAGCCTCTACACCGCATAATTCTTTCTGCTACCATTTTTTAATCGGATGACTTATGAAAAAAGCCACGCGAAAGAAAAATATTCTCAATGTACATAGTTACAATAATTAATTGTTTGTTCTAAAATACTAACAGTTCTAGAGGTATGAAACAGTCCAAATCACAACGCTATGAAATTCGCATAAATGTTTTGGTCCATCTCTAATTTATCTGAAAGACCGAAAGTAGTAAAATATCTTTCGTGAATTTTTTTGTTATTGCTTTAAGCGTTTGTATAATATGAAAATTATTTTCATTAGCATACAAGTACTTAATTAAAAAGAAATCCATTTCCATCATAAGGTTCAGCAAAAAAATGTAAATGTAGAAGTATATAAACATGATTGTAATAATAATTATTAAAACAAATGAAAGGCGGTTTTATCTAAGATAAAATGTATGCCTAATACATTAAAATACTACTTGTTTCAACCATATTACTTTTAAAAATGATATACGATTCCTAAAAATAGAATTACATACATTTCTCTTAGCGCTTTAGAAATCAATGTAGCTCTATTTTCATTTATTATTATTATAAGAACCTCTGGTACTAAAATACTAACTTTCACTAATATTCAAATTGCAGTAAACTTACAAAAAGATTTCAAGTCTTTTATTCTGCACGCTAAGTGACGAGTTTCATGACGTCACACCGTTGTGACCCTGTCAATTTCCACGTAGCGCACAGAATTGTCGCTATGTCAGCTACATATCAGCCCTTTTTCATCGACAATGGCTGTGTCCGATGAAAGGCTTTGCAGGCGCGTTTGGAGAATTGACCGCGGTCTTCTTCGACAGGTCTTCCATAACAGAAAAACGAAGGCGATACTAAAATAAACAGAAGAAAATAATATTAATCGGAATTGAGTACTTCCTAGCGTGTAACGATCAATATTATATTCTAGTGCGTCTAATCATCACACTTTCATGCTGGTTACTGAATGTTTTTAACTTTGTATTGTTGTTAAAATGTTCTTTAAACCCATATTGTGAAGTAAAAAGCGCGTGTTGTAAACTCTAAATGTTGTTTTACACTTGTGCAACCTTTCATAATACCCTTTATAAAAATGTTGTCTTGAGAATACACTAATCGCAATTTCTGCATCATAAAATATATCTACTGGATGCGCGTGCATACCTAATTGAAATTTTAGCGTTATTCTTACCAGCAAATAATCAGAAACAAGGATCCAAAAAATAGATAAATTGGTGGAAGCTGAAGTAAAATGGAGCAGTGAGTGATCGCTTCGTCGACTCCGGAAGGGCAGTCGTCCATTCCATCACACCAAACTGAAGCGTTTATACAAGCATCAAGTTCCGGGCATCGATATTGGCAGTGGTCCGGTTTTATCATGAATATTCCTAAACCGTTCGGTGGAATATCCCTCCTTGAAAGAAAAAAAAAACAAAAACATAAGAAAGCAGATCACGGATTATTACCGATATTGGTTTATTTATCTATGATAATCATCGCAAGCGAATCCCAAGATTATTCGTAGGTGTAGATCATATAGGCCCCAGTTATGTATATGGAGATGCGCTACTAGCTCCAGTAGTTAAAACATAAATTATTGAAGTGTAAGGCAGTGCACGTTGAGGAAGTTAATGAGTAAAAAAATCTTTGTATTCCGTGCAAATTTCTATAATTAATATCAGTGCAAAGCGCATTTGGCCGTAGCCATCTTCAGTGCAACTTCGTTAGGTTAGTACATGGAGTCATCTCTTTGAACATAGAAGTGTAAAGGAACGAAGACAACAGACTTTGCAGTTTGCACTGATATTAATTATAGAAATTTGCATAGAATACAAAGATTTTTTAACCATTGAAAACATAAATTGACGATATTAGTGTTAAAGAAAATCGGGCGCGAAATTTAAAATTGGTTCCTAAATACATTTCAACAAATTTGACAGCAATGTATTTCTTATGGGGGATTCAAAAGAGTAATTTTCACACTGGAATATCTCGGGTTCTGGGCATTTCTTAGTATTTGAACCTATTATACGTCAAACTTTGAACAAATTTCTCTACAATTCATGCTCTAATTGTGTTTTTAGACCTATGAGTTAAAAATAAAAATGATTATAATTAAAAGTGTCTGTTTTCCGTGGAGGTACGTCGGGTATTATGCCAGGTGTAAGAAAGTGGGGCTGTGTATTGTGTTATGAATGTTGTTGAGTTGTTTATTTATTTATTTATTACTAGTTTAGTCATTGTCTATCAATTTTTTTAGATTATTAGTAACATCTACTAACCAAGTATGTAGGTACATTTTTATTTTACTATAATACGAGATACGTATTTAAACAAAGATCGCCTTCCTATATTATTATATCCTATATTTTTATTTTAACAATGTTTGTTCAATTTTCAAACACATTCTCAGACAATTAACATATCAAAAAAACTATGTATTCAACTTACTTCCCTAACAAACTTTCTATCACGTCTACACACGCTTTTGAAATTGAGTCCCCATAAGACATCAATGCATTAATTTTTGAATTAGGAACCTGCGCCAATTTGAGATTCTAACCTAACTGATATGGTGAATTGTTTCGAAAAATATATTTTTGAATTTCATTATCATTACCTTAGTTCTTATTTTTGATACTACGTTTTGATCGCATTTTCGATGGTTGACAACTTTTTCACGACTACTAATTTACACAATAATGACAAGAGGTAAATATGGCTGGTAAATTTACCTGTGTGTGTGTGTGTGTGGTGAAAATCAAATCCCCGAGTTGCCTGAATCTTATCGACCCTTTCCTAGTAAGGTGTTTAACATGAGTCAAGATTGGTTTCTAGGTATCAATATTTGGAAGTTAGTTTTAATACGATATTTGTTGTGTCCGTTTCGATAAGTGATCAGTGAATTTTTATAAAATCCTATATGTTCAATAAATGTGTGAAGTGAGTTTTAGTGAACCTGGAATCCGTGACAGTACTCTGAGTTGGTTGTCCGATACCTACTTGATTTTTAATTGCCGATTTGGCTTTTCACCTTTTTTTTGTGTTGCTTCTGCGTTGTCCTGTTCTGACGTCGAGTGGACGTTTTGTACCGAAAAGTTGGACTGTCTTAACTTTTGAAATGAAGCCTGGAGGCCACACGGTGTGACGAACCCAGAGCATGCATTCTCTTAGGGAAAATATCAATCACTTATGTCTCTCCAGAATTCACGTAGCGTGACTTGGTTGCCGTTCGGCTGAAGCTTATCACCGAACAATGACATCGTGAATTAGTACTGGTATCAGGCTACTTCGCTGGAGATGGGCCAGCCCCACCAGAAAAAGTACAGAGTCTGGTCCAGTACTGCGATAGGAGCAAACTCCCGTTTCCCTCGGCTGTGACGCCAACGCTCAAAACACCATCTGGGGATGTACCCCCAGAATTCATTTTTCAAACTAACCAAAGTATACTAAATATAGGGAATAAACCAACATAATATATTATTTGGGTCAGACTGGAGGTATTAGACCTAACACTTTGTAGTCCAAATATCGACCAAATGATCAGAAATTGGAGGGTGTCGGATGAACTCCCTTTCCCTCTCTCTGATCACAGAATCATAATTTTTGATGTAGAAGAAGTACAAGGACGAAAACGTGGGGCTGTAACACATCAATCTTGCGATGGATGCATATCATAATAGTGAGATCTATTATTACTTACGGAGCAAGCGGTAGCTTGGCATAGCCTAAGCCAGCTAGTTATAGCTACGAAACTCCTAGCAAAAGTAAAAAGAGGAAACGCGCTCTGACAGAACCTCTCCTCTCCCAAACCATGCACCTCTCGTGGATCTACTAAAACATAAGATTGGGAGATGGAGCAGGAGTATTTGGGTCACGGACCAGATACTCAGATCAGAGCCAATGGGAAAGTCACCAAGCATCGTTCAAGCAGAATTGCATGCAATTGGACTATGGAACAGGAGCTTTTATTTCCTTCACTGAACCATCTATGGCCTCGGTAATGCGCACTTCCAAGGAATCCTCAAGAAGAAAGAGAAACGGGAACAAATAATGGCTAGAGCAGTCAGGACGACGATAAACCAAGGAAGTATGGGGCAACTTCAACCATAAACGAACAAAGCTTCTGGTAATCCTTAACAAGAAAAGTTTCAACGAAACTGGTAAGCCTCCTTATAGAGATAGATGACATTTGGATCTCTGGAACCACTAGATATTCTGATATTCCCAAAGAACTTAAGACTAGAGGGGCTGCTTTGAGCTGAATTTAACAGCAGAAGGAGGGGTATAATAGATCAATCTGGGTCGCAGTGCAACTGACACCTCCAAACACGACACGCATACAATACAATAGGGCATTCCATTTGGAAAAAGTTGAAAGTATGCATAATTTTACCTGTCCGATATTCAATTTCCTTTTTTGATGATATATTCTGAAAATTCTGGTAAAACTCTTTCGTATCTTTATTTTGTCTTTTACCTAGAAGGCTACATGTGTGTTGTCAAAATATGGAGAACACCGCTGTACATAAATATAGATAAAAATCGATTAAAACCCATTTCCATCCCGCTCGTAGCCGTAAAAATAGAATTAGCTAGAAAACGATTTTTCTGCTAATTAAACTTTCACATGCCTAATATTTTATTGATCACGATATGTGTTTCGACACACAGATACTATAAGTGGAGTTTCCACGTCTAGCTCAAATGTACTTTCTAGTCCAGTTCGACCTTCGGAACTCCTCTTACAACGTTTGGTCAACGGCAATTACCTGCACCATAGTATCAATTTCCGCATTCGTTGAGAAAATTACTTTTTATCAATTTCACTCCTGAAATGTATTTTTCTCAATATCCCGTCTAAACCATCCTGAAGGGAAACTTCACAGGCGACAAGCCGAATAATGCACGTCATCATTCGGGCGTCTCATGGTAAAGATAGCGAGCAGAACTTAAAGTTATATTACTCGTTTCTCGTCTACAAGATTTTTCATCGACAAGTCAAGTCAATAGCAAATTTTATTTCATTTGCTTTTGAAACGCGTCGAAAATAGAATAAAATAAGAGCGAAAAGAGGCGATATTCCGTTACGGCTGGTAGAACTTTAATGAGTAGAATCAGTAGAAACATAAATTTCTTTAGTTTATGAAGTTTCCAGTTTCAAGGAAATTTTAAAGTATAGCTAGTTTGGAACGGTATTAAAACAGTTAAATCAAAATATATTTGCTTTCAAAATATAAGGAAGGCATTGCTTTTCAGTCTTGAGTAACAAGATTTACTAAAAGCTGTGCTTTGATGTTGAAAAATGATTGTCATTTAATCTGCCATCGAGGCTTTACAGTTTCTCGGAAGTTCTCTGAAATTTTCTTTATCAGGGAATTCTTGTAAAATTGCAATATTAATTTTCATTTAGCGCAGCTTGCTTTTCTGTAAAACTTTGATGGAAGCAAAGTTTTGAATGGAACGTCATTTATAAAATTTCCCATCGTTGCTTTACATGCATTCAAATTTCAAGTACGATCTTGAATAATGGAAGACTTAATTTGCAGTTCAATAATAAATTTGTAGTTTTATGACGACTCTTTCCAATTTTATGCCTCTGCCAGATTTTGGAAATCAGCCCGCACTGGGGGTTAAGTTCAGTTTATGAGTCAAACATCCAATAGATGCTTTGACGAAATGAACTAACCCAATACTGGACCTCCTTTGCATTAATTATGCGTAAGACCATTTTCACAAATAGTTTTTTTTTTACCTTTAAATTATACAGTGAGGACATAAAGTCCGTCGCCCCCCCTCTAACTTTTGAACCGCTCGGTATATTGCAACGAAATTTGAACTGATGATATGTGAGCAAATTCTCCATTTTTTGAAATGCATATGACAGCTCCAGCTGTCAAAATGACAGCTGGGCGGAGTTTTGAAACGTTTTTTTAAATAGAAGGCGGTGTCGAGTGATACATCATTTACAAGGTCTCTTTATTCTTAATTTAATCCCCGATTCTAAAAACATTAAGTTTAGCGGTTTTCAAATGATCACGAAAAAACAAAGGCTTGTTTTGCTCATAAACGCTTATAAAAAAAATCAAAAATTTTTTTTATCCGTTTTTCACTCATTATTGTTTTTTTTCAGTAATATTAATGACGTAATGACATTGGTAACTTAAAAAAACAACAAAAGTACTCATAAAATATTGATTCAATTACTAAAAAAAAAAATGTATGACCAAAACAAGCCTTTTTTGTTTCGCCATCATTTGAAAACCACTAAACCAAATGTTTTTAGAATCGGGAATTGAATTAAGAATAAAGAGATCTTTGAAACCATCTATCACTCGACACTGCCTTCTATTTGAAAAAATGTGGTAAATCTGCGCTCAGCTGTCATTTTGACAGCTGAAGCTGTCATTTGTT